TCATGCCAACAAGCATAGTGTTTTGATTGATAAGGCAATACGTGGGCAAGTTGGAAGATACAGCCGCTAGAAGGGAAATGATCATCCAAAATGAAAAGCCAACAGCAAACAGTCCATCCAGATCATCAACAAAACTAGTGGGCGTCACGTCACTGGGGGCGGGGCGTCACGCGGGTCCTGCTCAGCAACCACAGCACCTTTCGCCGTGGGAGGGCCACACATCGCTTCCTTGGCAGCCAAGTAATTGCTCCGTGTGGCGCAGGTTCTCCCCGATGCGAAAATTCCTTATCGTAATCGCTTCCTTTAATTGATTGTTGAAATCTCGGATATACATCAAAGAAAGGGATCCCACTAAAAATCTAGACGAGATTTGTAAGATAGAAACTGAATCGGATTCAGATCCCCTTCCCGAGTGATAATGTCTTGAAACCACGTTTGAACATCAACACTTTTCTTTCCAATGGTAGGAAGGAATACCTGCAAATCTCGAACCCGCCTAGATAACTGATCTCGTTCATGATCGTCAAGGTGGCCATCCTTCAACCAGCTTTCATACACCTTAAAAATAAAACCTTCAACCAGCTTTAATAGACCTTAAAAATTAAACCTTCATAAAAGAAGAGCATTAAGCAATTATATCTCAAAAACTTACTCTAATCAGTAACTTTTTGCTGGCACTTGATTTTGCGTATAGCAGTTTACGTTCCGCCTCTCCGAATTCTCCTTTTGCGAGAAAACTCGTGGCAAGATATCTTAAAATAGTCAACATTAGGCGCTCAGAACTGATTACACTCATGGAGAGCGGTTAGTTACCTTGAAACGTGCTCCTCTATATCATCCACTGCCTCAACAGTGAGATCCTCTTCTTCATTAGCGCCATCAGGAAAGAGCTCATCAAGCCTTCGACGGTGGGGATGTGCCCTAATAAATACCACTCTAACAAATTGTGCTACAGCAATTGAAAAAAAGGCATTATTTGCCCTTCACTGCCCTATTTTCAAGAACCGGTGTGAATTTTTCTCAAGATGTGCCTCTTTCAATGATTGTGGCCGGAAATTTGTCTACGAATGTAGTTCAAGATGTAGAACAAGCATATCGCGAAAAAAAATCGTCCCCTTTCTAGAGAAAAAGCAATAGAGGGTAAATAGTGCCACATTTTTCAGCAAACTAAATAACAACAATCAGGCTATGTAGAATGAAGCTGTTCAAATGAATAATGACAAAAAGGTACGCACTCACCCAAATATAGCATCATGAATCGCTGTAGCATAAAGTGTCATCCAAAGATCATTTTTACCCTTTATCCTTTCCAACCACAGGAACACCTGAAGAAAACTATATGCTCTTCTTTGTATCCTTTACTAAGGTAACAATCCCTCACAGGGTAGTTGGCACCATGCAAACTATGCAAAAAAGCTCATAAGGTGCAGAACCTGTGGAAGTACCAAAACAAAAAAATGCCATTAGACATTTTTGCCGTGCACGTTATATACCTGTTGCTTTTCTACAAAGATCACGAGTTCAAAATAATAATGCTAACATAAAGCCTCACTCTATATAGCCTTCTTAGGGAAACAACCCGACATCGCAGCCTCACTGAATCAAAAACTCGCCTTCGAAGAAGAATGGACTCCATGTCTCCAGCATCAGTACTGTAACATTCGCGTCAATCAAAAGATTACTTGCAATGGTAACAAAACAGTAAATTTCAAAACAACAGCCATGTATTTATGAAGTAGTAACAATAATGTTCATAATGATACCATTTTCTATGTGTGGAAAGGTAATCAGCAAAAAATTGTAAAAAAAAGCGGACCCACTTTGTGATCATCTGACAAATAGCTCTCCAACAGCTGATTTGGTTAGGACGAATGCGAAGCCGTGCAGGAACTCGTGCAGGGCACACCGGGGAATCGCTCCACAGCGACAAAGTTAAAAGAAACACCTGGAAGAAAATGCAACATTCAATAGCAGAGCAAATCAGCTTTGTTGGAGGAGAAAAAAGCATGCCTTAACATCAATGCTAGTCAGACTGCTGCCAGCGAAATCCATATTCTTCCCGATCGGCGATACGGAAAGAATGCCGTCGAGCAAAGCTACTAAAATGATACTGAACATGTGATGTTTCCAATTAAAATGCCAATATTAATAAAAATAATTAGAAACCTACTTTTCGCTCTTCGGCTCTCCTTTTGATCTTATTTAAAATTACCAGTTTTGCTTCGCCCGCTATCGCGCGCATCACACGGCAGGCTTTAGCGAAATTGGAGGACCCATGGAATATCAGCATGAGATACTCCATTAACCATCTCACTATTGACTGTGTTAGACCCTCCACAGTTTCACTGAAGCTCATCGAGAATACGCGTGATAACGTCTGAGCTGAACTGGTATATTGATCACAACTGTAAACATCCAGCATTTTTCTTGAATTAAGATAATTTAGCGGTGAATAGGATTGCTGTCAGTCTCAAATAAAACGAAATATGCCTATTTACATAAGTGAGGAGCTAAGGCTTATCATTTATTTACATTCACCATTATTTAGAACCCCGAAAGGATTAGCGGTTTAATGAGTTTGGGCTTTCGTGATAGAAATGAAACTTATCATTTGCTGAAGACTTGATTGAATTTATGCAATCGACTGCTATTAAGTAAGCTGGATATATATCGAAATAATGTGCACGTACCTTTGTTTGTACTACTACGACTTACTACAATTTGTAAGTAGGAACGCTCTAGTGTCAACGCTGCGTAACGGAATTGACGACTTTGCGTTCTGGCGCGCCTTATCGGCCCTTATCAATCGTTATCAGTTTCTGGCACCCACCAACAATGTCCCCGTCCCACCCCACATAACACTTGTAAGTATGGTTGCTCTGGTGTCAACGCGAGCCAGGCAACGGAATCGACGACTTTCAGCGTTCTGGCGCGCCTTATCGGCCCTTATCAATCGTTATCAGTTTCTGGCACCCACCAACAATGTCCCCGTCCCACCCCACATAACACTTGTAAGTATGGTTGCTCTGGTGTCAACGCGAGCCAGGCAACGGAATCGACGACTTTTGCGTTCTAGCGCATCTTATCAGCCATTATCAGTTGCTATCGCTTCCAATCATGTACCACCAATGTCCCGGGACCGCCCCACATAAGACTTGTAAGTATAGACGCTCTAGTACCAATATGAACGACAAAACGAAATTGGCGATGCTCGCTTTCTAGCCCCTCTTATCAGCTATTATCAGTCGTTATCAGTTCCTATCACGTACCACTTGTGTCCCCATCCCACCCCCTATAACATATGTAAGAACCACTGCGCTATCGTTACTGTGACTCGAGCTATGAATTTCCGGTCAAACACACACACACACACCAACAGACACACGCTAGCCGCTTATATATAGTAGGATCAGATAATGCTCCAGCAGAAACCACCGAGTTACGGGCCGCAGCAGTGTCGGCAGCATATGCTGCCGACACGCCCACTAGTCTCTGACTGGCTGGCTCGTGTCTGCACGCAGTAACCTTTGTGGTGGTAGCCAATCACGGACGAGTGGGCGTGTCGGCAGCATATGCTGCCGACACTGCTGCGGCCCGTAACTCGGTGGTTTCTGCTGGAGCATTATCTGAGTAGGAATAGTTTTGTTCATTATGTACAGATTCTTACGGAGCAATGAATTTGATGTGGCAAGTTACAAACCAACGTATTTTAGGCGTTGTGAATTTGATATCATACGAACGACCAAACCCGTGAGCTACCCGGTGGCTTATCTTGCTAGCCGGTTCTGTTCCATCACCACCTCAAATTCATGACATAATACCAACATTAATGTATTTTCAAGCTATTGAAAACATTGAAAACAAAAATATCACATAAAAGATCGCTTCAAAGAATTTCGAGAAAAATCCAGTTTATGCAAACGAACTCACTCTGTTCAACCTGTCCAGAAGAGTCCTCATGTCCGATCATCCACACTATCATGCGCAGGACTTCAGGGCGATGAAGAAAATGGTATCAAACCGCTATAAAATGTATTGTTAACACTAGGAAGAAGAAGAGCTCAACGAATCCCTGTTGACGGATCCATAAAATTGAACAAAATAAGGCAAAAACCTTTGCAACTGGTTTTTTTGACTGAGAATTCGTATAAATACACAAATAAACTAGGAAGAAAAACTTCTAAGCAAAAGATGATTGTAAGCCACTCACGTTTGAACAAGATTTCTATTTGTTCATCGGTTATAGCTGGTTTCTTCACAGAATAGTTCTTCAGTCCTTGCCGATAAACTCCCGCATGAAGCCTTTGAATACCTCCTTCTGCTGGTATTAGACTGTCTGTGCAGTATTCAGCCAACTGAAATGAAGAGTAAGCTCTAATACTTACACACACCGATTTATACCTTGGAATCAGGTCAAAAATGTAGAAGCGGAAACCTTAATCAAGTGAGATTCAAAATGAGCTCACATCATCACGTGTCCATAAAGCTGCCAATTCACTTCTCGATAGATTCGTACGGGTGACAGCAGCAGAAGCTTCTGAAGTACATAATTATGAGGCAGAATTGATCGGGCCCTTATTGCCCTTCAGACGAGTTTTGTGTGGACAACTAAGAGTGATTAAAATTGGTGTCACCTAAATAAATTTGAAAGATGAAACTACTTTGTAAGGTTGAAGAACAGCTTTACCAAAGTCTGACTGGCGACTTTCGCATCAGCGCGTGCTACTTCTTAAAGCAGCCAAACCTATATCCATACTATTTTCACGTATACCCGCATCGTGTCTTGTTGGACAATTCCAAGCGATTTCAGAAGCGCTTCCCGTAAGGTGAATTTTGTAAATAGCTGCCCCTCTTCGAGCGATTAGCTTCCCCAAAAATTTCAACTATGCACTGAATTCCGTTACTAGAGCCGCATTAAGTCTTGCAGGTCGAGTAGGGAGTAGGATCGGATAACGATCGGTTGTGCGACCTGTCCAATCGGAACGGATACCTATCGTACTCCCTACCCCATACGAACTGCAAGCGAACTGAAAGTATTGGCCAAACCTTGAATCCGCGTCGCGTATGGAAATTTTGGCACGAGAGAGAAAAGCGAAAAAAAAACTAACCGAGAGCATGCATTCCATTCCATGCTAATGCTTCTGCAGTATTTGGTGAGGCAGAAGAGAGGTGATAATATGCTAACATGTGCAATAAGCATGAAATCTGAAAAGATCATCTTTGCCAGAATACTGACCTCGAAGAGAAAGCATATATACACAGCAGCGGTCAAAAACATTGGAACTTTTTTGATATTAATCTAGTGCAGACAACGAGCGCTTTCGCAGAGTGAACTGTTGGAGAACAAGTTCGTCCTAATTCTGGACTGTAGAGTTTAGATAAAGCTTTCCCATAGAGATACTATTTTTTTTCTTCCTTAATTCATTTGCAAATTATAACACATGTTAATGGAACTAAAATGAACAAACGTAATGCAAACATTGAAGAGTAGAAATCATAATGATAAGAGAAATAAAAGGTTCCCAAACTTTCGATAACTACTGCACATATGCTACAGAAGAAAAAACCTCATGGATAAGGGGTTTGAAGGAAGGACGAATTTTGGGAAGACGGAAAAACTATCGAAGAGTCGAAGACACTAAACAACAAACCTCTGCATCAGAACCACTCTGGACATCCAATAATGCGCCACTATATTTGAAAAGAATGCCCATCGCCATGCAAATACTATCCCTCGAAACAGTGCTTCTCGCTCTCTCAATTATAGATGTGAGCCTGGAAAAGGAAATGAGATTTTCGACCTATGCGATGACAAGAAAATATTTACCCACTCGACTAAATAATTCTGCAAAGCTTTTATATGAGGAGGATCGGCCTGCAGAGCGATTTCCATGAAAGGTTGTCAAGACTAGAAGATGCCGTTGAAGAGAGCAGTTGTCATATTTGTCCAGATTCTGAAAATCGCATCCATTATACTAGAACTTTGCCAATCTGAAGTTTGTATAGAAGGAAATTTTGACAAAGAATGAGACTGAAGAATCTCGTGTGAGTTGATGACAAGGGCCAGAAGACAGAGGGGGCAATGGATTAGAAGTCGCCACATGGGGCGGTGGTATTCAGCCTTTCCCCCGTCGGAGGATAGTTCCCACCTCACCGATTTGTCAAATCTCTGGGGGGATATAAGACATGAGGGTTGCGTCATAGGACCTAGCATACCTCTGTGTTTCTACCTGCCAGACAGTTAGAGCAGCGCTACTACCCTCCACTGATGAAGCACTCTTTCCCCTGAGGGGTCGCGCTGCTCTAACTGTCTGGCAGGTAGAAACACAGAGGTATGCTAGGTCCTATGACGCAACCCTTTTTTGTCCCCCCAGAGGATTGAATCAGAGTAGGGGGATATATCCCCCTGGGGGAAGGATTGAATACCGCCCCATGATTCAGATTTGAAATGCCAGGAT